CCTGGCAAGTCTATCCTATCGTAAGGCGAGGTCCATCCCCGGGTTAGCGACAGACTCGCCGATAGTGATAACAGTATTTAACATTCGATAAAAAAAAATCAGGATCCACCCGAAACGCAATACACCATTTTCGAAGTTTCATATGAGCCTCCACTGACTGCAAATATATAAATGCCATAAATATAATAGCATAATAAACTTGCTCAACAGGAATTTCGCAGCTTTAATCCATAGAATCATTAAAGAAATAATAATGCAAAAATTAAACAATTAGATATTAATATTATTACTACTTACCGTTTACTATTTTCAGTTTTCTATTTTTATAATCTTATATTAGAATACTTTAACGTAATTGAGATAAACAAAAGTGTGATAACTTACGATATAAATGGTTACAATATCTTTTATTGTTTTCAGGTAATGATACGATATCGCAAAGAATAAAATGTAGATTATACCAATTGAGTTATAAAATGAGTATGCCACAAGTATCAGAAATAGAAATACAAAAGTAAAATATTTCTTGTTTGATAAAGATGTCTCATTTGGCAAAGATGTCTCATTTGGTAAAGATGTTTCCATGATCTAAATATTTTAATAGTTTGAAAAATTTATCAGAAAAATTATTCCCAAATCCAAGATACGAAATACTATTTTTAAATAAAAGCTTATCACTTATCTGTTTATGCTCGATTCTTGATTTGAAACATGTTTTCACACAATCTCTCGTATTTAAAATGAAAATAACATTGTTATGAGTACAATGCGTTAATAAAGGTATTATACTTCCAGCATTCGCGTAATGCAATCGCAGTACTGCATTGCACAATTGCAGTGCCGCATTGCACAATATTAACGTTGAATCTCAAAATGGCCATATAAAAGATTCAGCCTTTGCCTTATACAATCTCAATGGCAAATCTCAAAATGATCATATAAAAGATTTAGCCTTATATCATATGATGTTAACACTGAATCTTAAGATAATCATGTGAAAGATTCAACCTTTGCCTCATACAATCTCTAATAAATCTTGAAAAGGAATATTCAAAGGTAAGAAGGTAGTAATACGTCTAACACAAAAAATAATTATATATGACAAAAAAAAAAAAAAATTATTTTGGGCGTACACATTAAATGCATAACGATGTGCAGTCATTGTATTTGTGTAGTCATTGTACTTGTGTAAGTTAAATGCATGATAATGCATAACTGTTATATACAAAATCCAATTGGATCTTAAACGGCAATCCCATGCTGATCAATTTTTGGGATATAACAACCTGTCATTTTTTTCTCAAAAATTTTACCTCTCCGAAAAAAATTTTTTTTTTATCTATTCAATTTCGTTATTTTTATCCTCTCGTGATTTTGATTTCTTGCCAATTTTCTTATTACGAAAAGGATTTTTTTTTTATTTTCATAAAATCGGATAAATCTAAACGAAAAATTTTTGGTGATGTATTAAGTTTTTTTCTCTTTTTCGTAATCATTTATGAAATTTCAATATAACAGATTCACAATATTTTCTCGTTTTTTTAGAAATAATTTGATCGCTGGAGCGGTCGGATAAATCTAAATGGAAAATTTTTGGTGATGTATTAAGTTTTTTTCTTATAATCATTTCTGAAATTTTAATATAACAGATTCACAATACCTTTTCATTTTTTTTAGAAATAATTTAATCAGTGGTTTTTATAATCACTTGTTGAAATAATTCGATCATTGGAGTGATATATACTTTCGTTTTGCAATTACTTGTTTGTCTCAAAAACACATTTATTCGCTCTCGAAGATTTCAGTCATCCGGGCCACTGGTGTGACCCACAACGAACTCGTCACAAACTGGAATGACATTCATCAATCTCCTTATAAACTCAACTAGTGATATGAAGGATGCCTAAAATATCGGCGACACTATCTATCACCCTGTAGTTATAGCTTAATGTAGAGTATTAATAAGTGCCTAGATTCGTTAACCCTTACACAACTCGGGGGACATAATATGGGAATGAGTTCACTTGAGAATCGTCTGGTAATTCAGAAATGAGCTTTTGTGAAAATCGCCCTAAAGGTCTATCGACGGATGCCCAACAGCTCTCATTAATAGCTAGGGATTTAATTCTACGTCACAATCAAGATTTTTTTATTGGTTTGGACATGTCTCTCAATTATAAGACTGAATCTTTATTAGACATGGTTATATTTGGTGTCTAGACTCACTTTGCTGAATCTAGACTTACTTTGATAAATCTAGACTTACTCTGCTGAATCTGACCATTTATAAAAGATTCATTAAATCCTCATTAACTGTGCTATATGCCTCGAGGTACTTCACAGATCTATCTGTGTTGGCCTATACGGGAGTGAATGCCCTTGTGGAGGTTAAAGTTTCACTACAGATTAAGAGACCGATATATTGAAGTTCTACAATTTCGGTCGCAGATTTTATTATTATTAGTTGAATTTCATATATCGTCGTAAATTCCATTAATATGATTTCTGATATTGAACTTGACAAGACCCTGCCCTAGTTTGAATTCTTATAATTCTTTATTAGAATATTTCTCGGGCAGTAAATATGATGAAAGTGTCCTGAAGATGATCCTAAAATCTTCGGTTTGAAAATTTCCCAAAAAATTTTCTTGTTTTTTACTTTACAACATTAAAGTAAACTTTTCTGAGAGATTGGCAACCTCTTAGAATCGTATATTTTCTTATTTGAAAAACATTTTAACTGAATGAGAGATCCGGGATTTCTTACTCCTGTTTTTATTCAATTTGGAAATTTTTTATATTTCCATTTTATTTTATGTTATTAATCCTTAATTACATCGTTTTCGGGTACCTGGTCATTAACCTCCACGTGGTGTACCTGGATATCAACCAATGAATGACCATATATCTTCTTACTTCTTTCTTGGAATATTAACAAAATAAATTTAAGATAAATTTAAGATAAATTTAAATCGAATTTAATTAAATGAAATGTATCAATAAATTTATATTGATAAATTTAATAAAATTTATTTATTATTATTTTTCTTAAACAATATTTTTATAAGTGAAAATTTAATTGGTTATCTAATATCTTCATCTTGAATGTCATCTAAATTATATTCCACGTCAACTCAAATCCATAGTATTATTTCTTGTTCCACTTCCATCTCGACGTCCTCCTCCACTTCCACTTGGACGTCCTCTCTTCCGCCTTACATACGATCCAACATATCCTTCATGAGCTGGTTTGTGTACAGGAATAAAATCATTACCATTTCGTAGGTATATTTCACCTGGATAATTACGTTCTGTTGATTCGCCATTACAATTGGTAAGGATATATTTTAATTTATTATTTCTTGTTAAAGTCATCAACCCTGCAAATCCCTGAGGACCTCCATAGGGTCTTGTCGGAAGTTGAGGTGGTTTGTTTACATTTCGTTTTACAAAACCATCTTGCATAGGTTTATGTATAGAAACAAGTCGATTATTCTCACCTAACAAATAAATTCCACCGCCATATCGTTCCATAAGAATCCCATTTTTTTTAAGAATAGAAACATAGTCACCTCAATGATCTCTAGTAAAAAGACGTGGAAGAGCGTTTGGTTGAAGTGGTCCAACAACTCTTTGGGTTTCAGGGACTAGTTGACCCTCGGAAATGCTTTCAGGACTTGAGGCTCGACTCGAAGATTGACTGTTAATAACAACAACATCTGGACGCGGAGGAAGTTGTTGATTTGAAGGAATTATTTCAGATCCTGGGGGCGGACCTTGACCTTGCGCAATGACATGAGACACAAATAAAAATAAAACTACAAGTAACTTAAAATTCATAACGTCGTTTTAAGCAACCGCAGCCTT